ATTGTACTAACTTCATATAACTCTCTATTACTAAATTTATTATATTTGTTATGACATATCTTATAATATTAAGACTTACTATAAGACTATAAAATTTACAAAGAAAAAAACAATGTATATTTATTTGATAAAAATTTACATTTAGTGAAGTTGTATTTCATACTATTAAATGTTATTTAAATTATAGTTATGCAGGGTATCACTTAACTGATGGTACAACCAAGTAAATGCTGATTCTATATCAAAAAATAAGTCAAAAATATAGAATAACGTTTTTTCATTCAGAAAAAAAATAAGTTCAAGAAATAATAGTATTGAATAGGAATTGTAAGTAATGTGTCTGGCCATGACGAACTTGACGCATCTTTCAACTCNTTAGCTCCGTTTTCGAGAAAAATTGAGTTGAAAAAATAATACTATTAAATAGGGATCAAATGGCGCGTATGGCGACTACATATCAATTCCACTTTTCGTCAAACTACAAGTCACGCGAACTTAACGCATCTTCCAACTCATTTTTCTCGAAAACAAAGCCTTAAAAAAAATGTTATTCTTTTTTTTTAACTTATTTTGTGACATAGTATCAGTCCCTATCCAGTTGTATCACCATTTACATAACATCCTGTATATAGTTCCTCGAAGCACATGTAGACAGTATGATATATCAATATATCATCAATAAAAATTAGCTAAACAATTTTAAAAGTTTTCATAATATTTACTTTTTAGAATATTAAGTGTATTTAGTTTGTGTATTGTATTTAAAATTAGTGTTAACTAGATTTACATTTTCAGAGTGAAAAATGCCAGGAGAACCATCTATAGCAACTGGAAACAAATCTTCAGGAAAAATCAAACGAATTTCTATACCAAGAGTACAAAGCAGTACAGATACAGAATTGCAGTCTCAAAGTGGTTCTACACCTTTGCAATCAAATGCACTCCACTTTGCTGCATTTCGTATAGACCCAGACGATAGTGTACTACCACCTGCTTTACGATGTCGGCTATTGGATTTGTTTCAGCAGATAGAGAAGGAGTTTGAAATTCTGTATACAGAAAACTTAGGATGTACGTATCTTCTGTTATACTAATGAAATTGTTATAGTATGCCAGACACACTTTTATTTTAAATACTGTCACAAACATCAACAAACATTTAGTAACATCATTGTTACTAAACTCTGCAATATTACTTAATTTAGTGCAAGAGAAAGTCGATGCTCTTAATGAAAAGCTTGAAAGAGAATGTTATGGTTCTGGAGAACGGAGCTTACCTCTTGGGGATGTTGCAGATTTCCCAGACACAAAAAGTCTTTCAAAACAAAAATGTAATTATCTAATAATATATTCTAAAAGTATTTTACTACACCATTACTATTTATATTTTGAAATATCTTTTGTTAATCAGCTATGGCAGGGAATTCAACACAGAAAACAAAAACAACTTCAAACAAGTTGAAAGCACAGACAAGCAAGATTGTTTCCAGTTTCAAAACACCGACTATGACATGTAGTATGCAAAGAGAATATTCTGGTCATAGAGACGGTGTTTGGGAAGTTTCTGTTGGGAGATTAGGTCAAATTATTGCTACAGCTTCTGCCGATCATACAGCTCGAGTATGGGCTGTAGATAGTGGACGTTGTTTACTACAATATATAGGTTTGTCAATGCACACTACCAGCATATAAATTTGAAAAATTTTAATAAGTAGTAAAGGAAAGTATTAATTTCAAATCAATTTTTAGTTGAATATCTCAAAATTGTTTAGAACAAGTTTGACTTTTAACAATAAACATTGCCCTGTAAAAAAGTTTGTATCCAAAAGCTTATAATTGAAATTTTAGGACATTCTGGTTCCGTTAACTCTGTTCGCTTTCATCCAACCAAAGAATTAGCACTAACGTCCAGTGGGGACAACTCTGCTCATGTATGGCAAGCAGCCGTTGATTGGGACTTTCCTAAAAGACAAAATTCAAATGAAGACCTTTCGGTATTATCTTCTGATAAAAATGTCAGTGGCGTAATACCTATTAACGAGGAGCAGGAAGAGCCACCAACCCTGAGGTAATTATTGGTATATCTATTTTTTAATTTGCTATTAATTATGTTTGTATGGAAAAAGAATTATATTTATGCTGAAAACAATGACATTCACATTTTAGTGCTCCAATTCATTTTTTTAAGAAGTACGTAAATGTTGTTACTATTTATATATTTACTACTTTATTATTAGTATTTATTATATATTCTATAATTACTTTTTGCACATAGTAATCTCTGAAACAAACAAGGAAGAGAAATGTAATTATATAACATTTACAATGAGGATTTTTCATATCTCTCTCAAATAAAATAAAAATTTTATTAGGGTAATGTCAGATAACAAGTAAAACACGAAATTTGTTTAAAACATTACAGAACTCCAGTTCGAGAATTGTTTGGTCATACAGGCGTGGTGATGTCTGCAGACTGGTTACCTGATGCAGAACAGGTGGTAACAGCTTCTTGGGATAGAACAGCTAATCTTTATGATATAGAAACTGGAGATATTATACACACATTATGTGGTCATGATCAAGAACTGTTTCACGTCTCCACCCATCACACACAAAGACTCTGTGTCACTTCAAGCAAGGATAGTACTTTTCGTTTGTGGGACTTCAGGGAACCTGTTCATTCAGTGTCTGTTTTTCAGGCTCACACAGAGTAAGTTGCAAGTCATTTTATATCAAGTTTCGACTACTTTTAATAAAGATATATAATAAGGTGCCTTATACAGTTATTATAAATTGTACCTTTGAAATGATTAGGAATAAGAAAATAGTTTTAGTTAAAATTTATGAAAAAATTATAAAATTCTGAAGTGATATTAGTGATATGAATATATTAGTCAAACACTAGATTCAGTTTAGAAATACTCAGTTTAGACTTAAAAATTATAGTACAATGTAACATGTTATATTTTCTAAATTAGACTTGCAAATTTCAAGCATATAATGTCAATTTTTTCTGGTTAATTTCTTTGATACTATTCGAGTTATGAATTTTAAAGGTTTGCTCAACACTTTCGATCATTATAACTTAAGATTATTAATAATTTTAAGAGATTTTCATTTGCGGGTTAAATTCTACAAGACCATATTTTAGTAAATAATTCCTAATCTAAAATTTGTCTAAATATTATTGTGTTTGTTTATACTGAAAATTTTAGATTTTCGTGAGTATACACTTCTATCAAATGGGTACACTATAAATTGTTAGAAGGTAGTATGTTATATGAAATGTTCTTAATTGTATATTTGTTTAGGACAGTAACATCAGCTGTATTTACACGGGAGGATAAAATCGTGTCAGGTTCGGACGATCGAACTGTAAAAGTATGGGAATTACGAAATATACGAAGTCCTTTAGCCACAATTCGTGGCGACAGTGCTGCAAATCGTTTGGCTGTTTCCAGTACTGGTATTGTTGCAATTCCACACGACGATAGGCAGATAAGGTTATTCGATCTAAGTGGTCAACGATTAGCTAGATTACCTAGAACAAGTAGGCAGGTGAGTAAAGGATGTTTTGCAAAATACTTTTCTTTTAGGAGAGTATGTGATCCAAATTCGTAGAATTTATACATCTTTTAATAGCATATAGTCTGTTTACAAAGTATTCGTACATTTTTAAAATTGGTGTAACTTTTTTATAATTAGGTCAAGCGATTTAAATTTTTTTGAGATGTTAGGAGGATTAGTTTACTAGACAATGGCCACAAAATTGTTTGGAAAAATTTCAGTTGGTTGGCATGACAAAAGAATTAAAAAATTATATTTTTCAACTTTTTTATCTGTGCCCGTAACAAAAATTAAAAAATGCATTTTGTAGATCGTGGTAACATATATACATGCTGAAAATTTCATCGAAATTGGTTGACCTCAACATGAAGTGTAAGCAATTAAAGATCGCGAAAATAGCAATTTTTTACAAATTTCAACCAAAAACAGGTACTTTTGACATCTTTTGGTGGCTGTAGCTCGACTATGCATCAACCAATTTTAATGAAAGTTTCAGTATCTATAGAAGTAATTGAGATTTATAAAATGCATTTTTTACATTTTCGTTACAGGTTCAGATAAAAAAGTTGGAAAAACATTATTTTTAAATTCTTTTACAATACTAATCAATTTCATTTAAAAATAATTTTTTAGTCATTATCGAGTAAACTAATCTCTCTAATATTCCTAAAAAATATGATTTGCTTAGCCCGATTATAAAAAAGTTATTCGGCTTTAAAAGGAGTACAAGTACTTTGTTATAATATTGTTTAATAAAGAACCTAGCCAAATAAGATGGTCAAAATTGTCCTTAAAGGTTTTTCAATGATTATTATACCATTCGATAGCTAACCAAGAAAATCCTCTCTGTGCAAAATTTCAATCCTGTAGTTTGCCCGGGAGAGTAGATGCAGAGTAAATTAGATTGCATGCTTTTCCATGTATTTTCTTCTCTTGCATGTTTTTTTTAAATTTTGAAAAAAGTTTTATCAGATGTTTTTGTTGCAAACTGTAGATGCAAAAAATTAAAAACCAAAAAATTAGAAAATTGTAGATTTCTCGAAAACAAAAACAGAAACTACTTTTATATTTATGCCCTGATAAGATGCTATCACAAGCAGTGTGCTCAATTTTTTTCAGATTTTTTGTTAGGGTACATAATTGATAAAAAAAGAAAAATGATACCGAATACATACGTCGATGTTTTTGTAAACATGGTTTTGTACGAGCTAATATTTACTTGGCTGCCTTTCGCTTCGCTCGCGTAAGAAAGCATTGGCTCATACAAAACCATGGTTACGTTGTTCGGCTCTGCGCGTTGCGCTAGTGGGCTTCAGTCTTGATGCAGCAAACCTCGCGGCTTCTTTGACTAGAATTTCCGGAATGATAACTCATAATACAATAACATAACTTCTTTTAATTTTAACATTTAAAAACTGAATTTTTTTAAACATATTTTGATTAAAATGAGACCAAACATGATATACTTTGCACAGATATTTCTGATTAAAATAAAATCAATCTCGATATAATTTTGATTACATATATCATAAACTACATTCGATTACAAACTACTATAACACAAAATAATTTTAGAAGTAACACAATGTGGATCTCGCACTGGATAACGTGTGTCTTAACCGACGATTCTGAAAGAATAACGGACGAATTAACTCTTGTTTTCGCAGGATCACTTCTCTTCTTCGATTCCTACCACTGCATTAATATGGCCTAAAGCAGAGCTGTTCTACAGCTTGCCCATACGGGCCGCGATTTTCGTGCCAGGGCAAATACCCATCGGCGGGCTCTAGGCCCCATTCCCGTGGGCAACGGTGCCCCTTTATTAGCATTTCATGAGACTCCTCACCAGTAACGACACGTTATTTGGCTGAAGATGGTGACAGAGATCGATTGTAGGTTATGTTGAGATTGAATGAAACAAAACGAGCATCGGACGATCGGCATATAACGGCAATGCGTGCGAGTGAGAGAGCTACGCTCCTTTCTTTTTTCACATTCCCAATCCGCTAAGACGCTTGCCTGTAGATTTTCCCTTACCCGTTTCGAGGTCTGTTGAACAACTCTGGTCTAAAGCATGTCGTGTTTCGTCTCATTTTAATTGAAAGGATCTCGCCATACGTTAAAAAAATTTTTATGTATGAAAAATTAGAAATAAAAAACTTACGGCATCGTTTTTATTCTAGCATTATTGTATAATGGAATTAATGTACAGTAAATTTTCCCTAGCAATCCTCAAGCTTGGAATTGAAAATGAACATCGCAGGAAACTCGGTCATGATTCTTTGTTCTTTGCAATTCGCCTTTATAGTTGTCGACATATCGTCAGGGAGAGGAAGGGGGGGGGGCATGCAGATGTGCATTAATACAAATACAAAGTAATGCTAGAATAAAAACGTTGACTTAACTTTTTTAATATCAGATTCTTTCAATCAAAGTGAAACCAAACACGACATGCTTTATTAGACCATATTTATCCATTATACGTAGTAAGAAACTTATTTCATAAACGAGCCATAAAACTCGAATAATCATATTTTCTTTTCCTAAATTGTCCATTTTCGATTCCAAGCTGGGAGACACCATGTGGGAAAATTTACTGTATCGCACACATCACAGTTTTTTCTTTCTTCTAAATCGCATTTCCCAGCAATTTCAAGCAATTTCCCAATTGCTTATTTCAATGTAATAACATTTAAAATTATTTAATTTATACCTGCGGTAAAACCAGCAAATGTAATTACTTCTTCACAGCAAAAAACGTCAACATATTTGGTTTTTATTTTGTTCGACAATTATGTACCCTGATACAAAATCTGAGAAAAATTGAGCACACTGCTTGTAACAGCATCTTATCAGGGCATGGATATAAAACTAGTTTCTTTTTTGTTTTCGAGAAATCTACAATTTTCAAGTCTTTTTAGTTTTCAATTTTTTGCGTCCACAGTTTGCAGTAAAAAATCTGAAAAAATTCTATAGTATGCAACTTCAGATTCAAATATGGCATGTTTTCCAAAATTTTAAAAAAGCATGCAAGAGGGAAAAATGCGCGGAAAACACGCAATTTAATTTACCCTACATCTACTCTCCCAGGAATTGATATTTTGCACGGAGAGGTCAGGCATCGAACGGTGTAATAGTCATTGGAAAACCTCTATCTTATTCGACTAGGCCTTTTATTTGTGCTAAATTATACAGGGTATCCTATAATTACCTTCATTCTTGAAAGGGGCGATTCCTGAGGTTATTTGAAATAACTTTTACCTTAGTCCAAATGCTATCCTTGGCTTTGTTTTCGAGTTATTAACGATAAACACTCGCCAATGTGAGGCGAGATCAGTTGGCGTGAGCGGAATTGTGATGCGACTGTGAGACGGACGCTCTAGGTGTCCTTGTGATAATTTCAAGAATCTTTATTTTAGAATGTCTGAAGAATATTTAGTAATGTTTCGAATTCGAAATGATAAGCAGTTTAACCGTGACAGCATTTTCTGTGTATCACACCCCATGTGTAGTAAACTAATTTTTATGTGGTGGGTATAGTAGATATTAACGAAGGGTAACCCCGTCTCAAAGTATACGTAAAAGATATTTTCATTTAAATAATTCTGCATCCGGCCAGAATTCCACGAATGATTCACAAAGCTATTTTATTGATAAATAAACCCGTTGAACGACGTAAAGGATTTGTTTGTTTGAGAGTTGTAGAAAATATCATTAATAAGAAACTCACACATTTAGTTGTAAATCCACTTCATGCTCGGAAGTACGTATCAGGAGGACACGTACAATGTATAATGAATTGCACAGATGATCTGTATACGACAGTGACGAACAGAAGGATATTTCCGGGCAGGTTATTCTAACGTTCACTTTCACTGCACTATCACTAAACACTGATTCTTACTTATTCTAATATATAATTACGGGTGAACTTTCCTTGGTTAATATTTGTGGCCCTGAAAAGTGCTGATTTTTCTATGAGACGCATTCGAAGTTTGCACCGTTAACATGTTTCGTAACGTTCTTCTGAACCCTTTGCAGCATTCTTGGACTAAAAACGTTGCCGTTGTTCGCACCGTACAAGAATAGTTATGAATATTATGATACTCTTGCGACGTCCTTTCTATCACGATGCATGCACATATTGCACGATAGCTGACAATATTTCGCGTTCGATGGGGAATAATTGAAATTCGCTTGTAGGAAAATGAAACATTGTCGGCCATCGTGTCCATCTTGTGCAGTCGTCCCGAGCATTAATATGGAAAGGACATTACAAGAGTAATGTAACGTATGTTCAAACGTTGTATGTTGTAACGTATGTGCAAAGTACCGTACTTATTTTGGAGATGCTGTGAGGGCTTCTGGAGAAAATGAGAAAACATACTACCGCAGTATGTGTCGCTAACGGTGCGAACTTCGAACGCGTCACATAAAACAATCAGCCCTTTTTAGAACCACACATATTAACCCAGGAAAGTTCGACTGTAATCATTACTGAATAAGTAATCAGTGTTTAGTGATAATGTAGTGAAAGTAAACATTCAAATAAACTGGAGATATCTTTCTGTTCGTCACCGTCATATACAGATCTTCTGTGTACTTCATCATACATTGTACATCACTATCCTTCTGACACATATTTCCAAGTATGAAGTGAATTTACAACTAAATGGGTTGTTAATGATATCTTTACCTTATCTCTACCTTATTAATGAGATATCAAGTTGTCAAAAGTCTACATCACCTCATATTTCAAAAAATATGTTATAAAGGGCGATATTCTGAACAATTATTTCCTTTTCCATTTAGGGCCGCTCGACCCTATTAACCGGCCAATCGGTTAATATTTCGAAAAAATATCTCGAAAAGCTGAGCGGTTCTAAAGGGAAAAGGAAATAGTTGTTCAGAATATCGTCCTTTATAACATATTTCAAGGCAAAAATATCTTTTACGTATTTTAACGGGGTAACTTATCGTTAACATCTACTGTGCCCACCGCAAAAAAATTAGTTTGCTACACATGGAGTGTGATATACATTAGAAAATTAAAACGGCTGTCACGGTTAAACAACTTATTATTTCGGGTTTGAAAAATGACTAAACATTCTTCAGACATCCTAAAATAAAAATTAATTGCGTTTTTTTGGAAATTATCACTTACACGTAGTAACAAAAGTACGGAAAGTTTCACGCATGCTGGCTTGTTCATGTTCGAGCCCGGCACGAAGCCTAGAGCGTACGCCCCGCTCACAGTCGCACCGCAATTCCGCTCGCGTCAGTTGATCTCGCCTCACATTGGTCAGTGTTTATCGTTAATAACTCGAAAACAAAACTGCGGATAGCATTTGTGTTAAGGAAAAAGTTACTTCAAATGACCTCAGGAAACACCTGATTCGGGAAATGAAGATAATTATAGGACACCCTGTATTTCATGCATAAAACATGTGGTCATTTTTTATTTTAAATATTTATTACAAATCATTTCAGGGTCATCGAAGGATGGTTTCGTCGGTAGCTTGGACTCAAGACAATGGGGTCTGCAACTTATTCTCTTCTGGCTTTGACAGATTAGTTCTTGGATGGAGCATTGTGCATCTTAAAGAATATTGAACAAATATATAAATATGTGTACTTAAAAATCAAATAGAAGATCAATATTTCGCAGTGTTTTAAATTAAATGACAGTATCAAATGGATTTTATTCAATGTATATTATTGTAGGATCTTGGGGAAAAAGAAAGAATTGTTCACGGGACTCGAACCCGCGTCCTCATTTATCGTAGCCGATCGACTCCTGCAAACACCCACGGAACCCCATCCGTCATTCTCAATCTCCATACGTGTTGTTTATGGAGAATCCTGATCCCTACATTCACAAGCCCTGCAAAAACTATTCGCCTTCGAATGGTTCGCTTGCTGTCTGTCTATGCCTTAATCTTCACAGTGCATCGCCGCTAGGAGACACTATCTAAGTGTACCATCCCTCTTTACTCTTCTCGTTAATTGTCACGACACAGTCGTTCCACTTGTCGATGCTCGATATTCTCCCTATCCTGGACGAGCACCCAATTTGTAAAGTCTTGTGAAGGAAAAGTGGGTAACGCTCATGGGACTCAAACCCGCGTACTCACTTCTCGTAACCTATTGACTCCCTCAGTCACCCACAGAATTACCTTGCCTTCCCCAATCTCCATACGAGTTGTTGATGGAGTTACTGATCTCCATATTATTAGACTAGTCTAAAATTTGAAATGTTGTAGAAATGAAGTTAGATGCAAAGTTGCATATCAGTGTGATAACCAATGACTACAGTTTTCCATTGCCAGATATTACTGCAAATAATTGCAATAACTGTATAATGTATAAATCAGTGAATTGAAATTGTAAACATTATGTAATAATTCTAATAAATTGTAGATATACGTTAAACGTTTGCAAAAGTTATTTGTTAAAGCAGTGCTTGGAACGCTCGAGCACGCAACATCGCTGCCACCAAATCTACGTCTCCTTACTACCGCCGTAGCGTCTCGCTTGCCGTATTGCTTCCATCGGCTCACAGCACCTCAGGCGCGCACCGTAATAACCATTCGTGGTGCATTAGGGTGACGCTCGTATCAATAGATTTCCACATCACCTATGAGGTGTTATTGTTAAATGCGTTTTTTGTCAAGTTCCTGTAGGCCTATTCCAATGTGATGCGGGATAATTTCGGATCGACGATAAATGTGGAAAATAAATCTTCAAAACAATTTTTGATTTAATCGTCAGAGAGAATTTGATTGAAGTATGGAAACTGAGATCCCTTTAATCTAAATGTAGAACTAAACAATCTGTTCTTTTTTCCGAGTTGCAAATCAATTTTCGAAGAATTCGGCACTAACTGCGATTTTGATAAACATATTCACATCCTCCATTCGATGATAAATCAATTCAATAAACGTTTCACGGATTTCGATTTGTTTAGAAATTATCTAATTCTCTTCGAGAATACCTTCATCGTCAAAATCGAAGAACAAGCTCTCGAGTACCAAGGGGAATTCATCATTAGATGAATTGACATACCCGATTCTTAAAAATTTCGCGCTCCGAATGTTCTCAATGTTCCGATCAACTTATTTATACGAATGCGTTTCATCAAGTCAGAGTAGCCCACATCGCTAAGCGATTCTTTATCTTTCTCATTACACTGTCCGACACGATTTTTGGGTTTCTATAGCCACTATGAAATTCTTGTAGAGCTTCACTTCCTGAACAAGAATCCGAAAACCGAATTGCTCCATCACCCTCAGTTTTTTAAATAAACGAACTTTTGTAAAAACCCAAAATTTTCGACAAAAATGAGGTATTGCATGAAAAGTACAAACGCTAGAAAGTTCTAATCAATCTCAAAAGATAGAGGAAAGTTTTCCGAATATAGTGGCATGCAATTTATTAATTGTTTTTGATCCTAAATAGCAATAAATTAATGTCAAATTTTAAAAAAGTGTCGACGTGCGCAGTTTCTGCGCAATATTTTTGTATTTTTACGAAAAGTTTTTTGTTCAGCACGAAAACTCTACCCAGTATCGGATTCTGTAGACATTTCTGAAGAAGAAACGGCCCGATAGAAGTGTCGGAACGATGTACATTTTGAGTAGGTCGAGAAAATGTTCGTCGGCAACATGTACACGATGTTTTGCCGCCATGTGCTTCGCTGCTCGCTTCTCTCTGTCCGACAGGGCCGAAGCTATGCGTAATCAACACCGATGGAGGGATCCAATGGGGCACCCACTTTTCGTAAATAATATTTGAATTTTTTTTAGTACTTCAATGTTCTGTTTTTTTTTTACATATTTCTGTGGATAATAATCACCAAACTGTGATATATTTCACACAAAAAATCACACCAGAGTATTTGGAGTTGGTAACGAAAGTATTCTAACACTAGTATAATTTTGACTTCTACGCCATATAATTAAATAAATATTTAAATATATATTTAACGATATGTTTCAAGAAGTTTAACGTTTTGAAAATGATTATTTATTCATGATCGTATTATCGTTATAATTTAAATGATAACTGTATACATGATATACTTGTAATTCGAACAAATTCAGAATAAAATGAATATTTTTTGTTCATTATTTTTCTTTTATTATTTCTCCATTTTTAATTTATGATTCACAGTTTGGTGATTATTATCCATAAAAATATGTAAAAGAAGATAGCACATTGAAGTACTAAAAAAAATGGTACGCCCCACACACTAAGTGGGTGCCCCATTGGATCCCTCTATCGGTGTTGATTACCCATAGCTTCGGCTCTGTCGGACAGAGAGAAGCGAGCAGCGAAGCACATGGCGGCAAAACATCGTGTACATGTTGCCGACGAACATTTTCTCGACCTACTCAAAATGTACATCGTTCCGACACTTCTATCGGGCCGTTTCTTCTTCAGAAATGTCTACAGAATCCGATCCTGGGTAGAGTTTTCGTGCTGAACAAAAAACTTTTCGTAAAAGTACAAAAATATTGCGCATGAACTGCTCACGTCGACACTTTTTTAAAATTTGACATTAATTTTTTGCTATTTAGGACCAAAAACAATTAATAAATTGCATGCCACTATAGTCGGGAAACTTTCCTCTATCTTTTAACACATATTAGAACTTTCTAACGTTTGTACTTTTCATGCAATACCTCATTTTTGTCGAAAATTTTGGGTTTTTACAAAAGTTCGTTTATTTAAAAAACTGAGGGTGATGGAGCAATTTGGTTTTCTGATTCTTGTTCAGGGAGTGAAGCTCTACAAGAATTTCATAGTGGCTATAGGAACCCAGAAAAAAAGTTTGATTTTGTCGGACAGTGTTATAAGTGTCCCCCCCGTGTCCGCTACCTTGTCGTGGTGGGGGGGCTTCGTGCCCTAATGATCCTTAAGGCTGTGCCGGCGGGGATTTTATTCCCTGGCAGGTTCTACCTAGCCGGAGTGNTGGGGGGGCTTCGTGCCCTAATGATCCTTAAGGCTGTGCCGGCGGGGATTTTATTCCCTGGCAGGTTCTACCTAGCCGGAGTGGCTTGAGGTGAGGGGCCAACTAAAGTCGGACACATACCGTAAACCTGTGGTCATGTTTTGGCGGTGGCGGTCTGTGGCCACCCAGGGTGGGAGATAACCCCCGAACTAGCCCTCGCGTAGGAGGGTTGATCGGCCGAGTCGATGGGTGTATCGGCGATGAAGGCATTAGAGACCGTCAGTGCGTCGTACATGTAGTACTTCGCATAATGGCGAGGCCCTGATTTAGCATACGGGCTGTGGCGTGTTCTTTGTACAGCACTGTATGTGCTGTATGACTTCCGACTGGGGAACTGTTGTCATTCGTGGCTTCAGTTCCCCAGTTCACGTTAAACGGTTTTTCAGACCGTTTTTCGTCGGCTGAACACGCCACTAGACAACACTCCGCTGGGCTCAGGAATACATGGGACGCAATCAATCCCCTGGGCAACCCAGGCCGCAAGGGGCAAACGTGCCCTAGCCACACTTGAGCCTCCACGAAAAAGGTACCGCTGGATAGCTCGTGTTCTTAAATACGCAGCGAACTGAACGAAGTGTGGTGGAGAGGAAGAGGCAGCCTCTCCGACTGCTGTCTCCCACGTGTTTGCCGTGCGTGGCGACCCTTGTCGTCGGAAAAGAGGGTCCTGGGATCTGAGGGGGCCCTCTCCTGCGGGTGAGACGTCCCCAACACGTACCTTTGGCCTCTGCTTCGGCTAGATGGGCGGCTGGACGAGAAAAGCAGCCCTGGTCCAGTCAATCGGCTTGGAACGACCACACGCTTCGGGCAAGTGGGTTCTGATGGGCGAGGACGCGGGCTGGGTAAGGAAACCGACCCAGCCAGCAGACTATATCCGGTGCGTAGCCCTAACTCAGCCTTTGGCGGGTTCCAAATTGTGCGGGTCGGTGGTGGCCGGGGAGCGCACTGGATGAAAGACCAAGACACATTATGGGTCTTAATGAAAACCAAATAAAAACTACTACTAAGCGTCCAAAGACGACGGGTCCAGCTCCTACTCGGAGTGAAGCCGTCGCCGCAGACGCGGGAACTGCAAATGCAGCTGTCAGTCCCCCCGCGTCTGTGAGAAAGACAAGATCCGGGAAGGTGATTAATATCGCCANGAGAGGAAGAGGCAGCCTCTCCGACTGCTGTCTCCCACGTGTTTGCCGTGCGTGGCGACCCTTGTCGTCGGAAAAGAGGGTCCTGGGATCTGAGGGGGCCCTCTCCTGCGGGTGAGACGTCCCCAACACGTACCTTTGGCCTCTGCTTCGGCTAGATGGGCGGCTGGACGAGAAAAGCAGCCCTGGTCCAGTCAATCGGCTTGGAACGACCACACGCTTCGGGCAAGTGGGTTCTGATGGGCGAGGACGCGGGCTGGGTAAGGAAACCGACCCAGCCAGCAGACTATATCCGGTGCGTAGCCCTAACTCAGCCTTTGGCGGGTTCCAAATTGTGCGGGTCGGTGGTGGCCGGGGAGCGCACTGGATGAAAGACCAAGACACATTATGGGTCTTAATGAAAAACAAATTAAAACTACTAAGCTTTCAAAGACGACGGGTCCAGCTCCTACTCGGAGAAAACCGAGCCCACGGTAGAAGGTACGCCGGACACCGGTAACATGGGAGTAATCGAACGAGTCGGAGACA